TATTCGGGAGTTACCGTTTTCAATTTAGTAATTTTAAAAAAATCCTCGGGCAGATTTATTTTTGTTACAAAATGTTACCTTTACAGATTTCTAGCTCTGCACACTGTAGAAAAATCTAGAAATACAGTTTTGTATATCGTAATAATATTAGTCGTCGCCAGAGAGCTCTATAAAGTAGAGAAAAATCTGTAAATTTGAAAACTATAAACATAAATTTAAATTTCTTAAAAAATAAATTAAAAAATCTCAAAAGTCGCTACTTTTGGCTGATTTGTCTGCGGTTTCCGCTATCTCACTACGTCCCTCTAAAAGTCGCCACGGTTGGGAACACTGGTGAGCAGACATCTAGATCTAAGTAAGGCGAAATGTAATCACCAAACCGCGCTGTAGAAAGGCGGAAAAATTTAAAATTTGAAAATATAATTTTTTGTGAACAGCAGTTTGGGCCCCCTTTTCAAGAGGGCCCTGTGCGGGTGCACCTGTTGCACCTGCCTAGTTACGGCTCTGGTCAGAATATTGCCTTTGACAGGACTAAGAAAACTTAAACTTTTGGTAACTGACATAATCTGTTTTCCCAGAAACTTTATTCCCACAGTTCTTTTTGCAGGAAAAGTTTGTACATGTTATTTCTGAGTCCTCACAGTCACTGCTGTTGTCTTCCTTTTCAATGTCTACCTATTGTTTATCACCTGCAACACTTGACAGACTTTTGTAGAATTTTTTATTCTCCACCTTTTGTAGGACAGTTGACAACTTCAAGCAGTTTACAAGTTTCTTATCTGATATATGTATTGGATCTTTATAGGCTTGCAACTGTCAACTCATTGATCCACTACCTGCTGCTTCTAATCAGAATATTTTTGTATGGCTTAGAATATGTGTCACAAATTTGAACAGCTTCTTCATCTTAAGTGCTATTATAATCGTTACTGATTTGAGATTCAACTTTTACTCAGTAAATGTGTGATGCTTGCGTACCTGCTATCAGGAGCCAAAATTCACTTTCTTATTCTCTTCCTTTTGTGATTTGTGTGGCTAATTCCATAAACTTTGGATTGTCAAATAATGTTTTCTTTCTTCTTCTTTCTTGGCCACATATGCCTACCAATATTAGACATCTTCAAATGACGTTGAGGCTACTGCGATCCAGAATACAGTGGAACTTGCTTAATGAGCACCTCGCATAACGAGTGTTATGCATAATGAGCAAAACAAATTGTAAAAAATTGCCTCTCTTAATGAGTGATGGGGAGAGGGAAAGTTCCAAATTGTGCGCATGCTCCATCAGTCTGTATTTAGCACTTGTTTCGCTATCATCTTAATGTTGCTCGTGATCACATATTTTTCCAAACTTGTGTTCACACATATTACGTATAAACATCAACAACCATAACCCATTATATAATAAACACGCCAAATGATATGCCAAATTATTAGGCTATGTAAAGGCTATAAATAAATATTAAAAATTAATTAATTTGACTAGAGGTAGGCAGTCATGCTGCCATTTCGTATTAAATTTAATGATCAATTCCAAATTAAATTTTAGAAATGTCTAAATGAAAAATTAATTATTTTTTTTAACATGAANGACTTCTGATCTATTGATACATAGCCGTGATTTAATTTTCTGGAGTAAGTAAAAATGTATTAATTGCTTCTCTAGGGCCCACTCAGTCTTCATTGTGACGAGTACAGTACCAGTCTTCCCCCCCTATAAGATTGTTGATTTTTCCGTTTTATATGAATTCCATGTTGTACGAGTCACTTAGATTTTACAAATATGTGAGCCGTTCACAGCCCGGCACACGTATTTGTAAAATCTAAGTGACTCGTATAACATGGAATTCATATAAAACGGAAAAATCAACAATCTTATAGGGGGTCGACTGTATTTAATTATAGCCTTTACATAGTCCAAGAATTTGGCATATTATTTGGAGTGTTTATCAAACATATTATCTGTGATTTTTTTTTGTACTGTAAATTGAATTCTTATTTCAGGTTTGTTCATTCTGTGCTAGAAGAAAAGATGATGATGATTCATGCTCCTTAACAATGCACATTGAACAATTTTCTTTGAATAAATGTTATACATAAAACATTTGAGTATTTTTTTTTTTTTGGTGTGGAACACATTATCGTATTTTACATTAATTTCTATGGGAAAAATTGTTTCATTTAATGAGTGTTTCTCATTACGAGTACAATTCTGGAAGAAATTCTGGAATGCTCGTTAAGTGTGGTTCCACTGTACTTTTAATGTAGTTGGCCATCTTGTAAGTCAGCCTTTATCACAAAAACAGCATATGTTGTAGACAATTACTATTCTTGTAATAAATTTTGACATTATCTGCTGACATGTGATTTTTTTGTAAAACCTGAAAATTTTTTATGTAGAATATCTCCATTGGTATTTGATGTTGTTGCATAATACGAGGGCAAGGTGGAAGGTTCTCAGCCTAGTAGTGAAAAAATGAGTTTTTTATTTTAAAAATGCATTCATTTCTCAATGTAGTCTCTCTTTAGTTCAATACACTTTGTCCAACATTTCTCCAGTAACAGTATTCCATCCCTGAAGTGCGATTCTGGAAGGTCTTCAAAATATCCATTTACCGCTGCTATCACCTCTTCACTTGACCCAAAATGTTTTCCTGCCAAAAATTTTTTAAGATTTGGGAATAAATGAAAGTCAGAGGGAGCCAAATCTGGCAAATAGGGAGGATGTTTCAATAATTCATACTTCAAATCCCTCAATTTTCCCATTGACAAAGCACCTTTGTGAGCGGGTGCATTGTCCTGGTGAAAGAGGATTTTTTTCTTTTGCAAACCAGGCCTTTTCTCTCTAATTTTTTCATCTATCTGGTCAAGAAGATGTGTGTAGTATTCTCCATTAATCGTTTGACTCTTTGACAGGTAGTCAATTAAAAGAATTCCTTTGGGATCCCAAAAAACACTAGCCATAACCTTTCCAGCCAATGCAATTGTCTTTGCTTTCTTCGGTGCAGAGCCATCAGCTTCTACCCACTGTTTGGACTGTTGTTTTGACTCGGGTAAAGTGGTGAATCCATGTTTCATCCATCATAACAAATCTGCACAGAAAATCAGTTGGATCCTTCTTAAAATGGCGCAAACATTGCTGAGAAAGTCAATTCCTCATTTGTTTATGATCAGCATTTAATAAATGCTGCACCCATCTTGCGCAAAGCTTTCTCATACTGAGTTCTTCATGTAAAATGTCCTTACCCTTTCTTCTGAGATGCCTGCATCCTTAGCTATCTTGTACACCATTAATCATTGATCATTTAGAACCATATTGTGTATCTTCTCGATATTTTCTTCGGTAGTTGCAGTTTTTGGCTGTCCTTCACGTGGATCATCTTCAATCGACATACGACCACCTTTAAATTCCGCTGTCCATTTTTTTACTGTTGATAACGAAGGTGCAGACTCCTTATAGACCTTTATCAACTTTGGATAAATTTCTGTTGGTGATAAGTCATCCAAAACAAAGAATTTTATGACGGAACGATATTCAAGTTTATTCATTTTGTCAAAAACACACACAATGCTTACTTTAAACAGCCGTATAAAACTATTTGTCTGATCAAATTCACACTTGGTATTTACTTTTGTAACAAGTTTGGAAACATAACCAGATGATACTTTCATTTGTAGTAGTGCCATCTATGGGTTAGGCCGAGAACTTTTCACCTTGCCCTCGTATTTCATAGGCAAGTCACTATTCATTAGAGTTGCCAGATGCAATGAAAAACCCATTTTTGCTCAATTTTGACATGTGTGTTTTGCAAAAAAGGCCTCATATACAATGACAGCAAAAAGAACACAAATATATAAGTAGACTTACTTGTACTAGTTAAGTCCTCAGCCAGAGATAAGGGCTAACAGTAATCAAAAATATTTAGTTGTTATCTTCTAACAATTTACATAATGTTCTAAATTAAAGATGATAGTGCTCCCTGGGATCTATGTAGTGTATCATGATTCTGGAAGTTGATAATCAAGGTTATCATTTATTTTTGTATTTTGATATAATTTAATACTTTCTATATGCTTTCTTCAAAGTGTCAATTATTACATAAATTAAGACTTCATTTATGTATCTTACAATATCTGACTATATTTTTATTAATTAAAATTATACACAATATTTAATAGGACACATATGACACATTTTCTTGACCATTTAAACAAATTCAATAATTTATATATTTCATTTAGACATCTGATTTTTTTACAATATTTATCTGTAATTCATTAAATCATATTAGGCATAGTAAGAAGGAATCAAATAACAAAAAGTAACACTTATGTGCATTTTCAGTCAATTTAATCATGACTCAAATTTTAAATAATTTAGTATGATATGCTTTTCAAAGATATTCTGCTATCTTAAAATTAGACATTCAAAATACATTTATTAAATTGATAAACTGGCCTATGATGATATATTTATGACTATGCCTAAAATTCATAAATTATTTAAAATGACTATCAAAAAATAATGATTAATAAAAGCAAAAGTTTTAAAATATTTTTTAATGTGTATTTCCTATCTTCTTGTTATTTAAATTAATAAAACTTAACAAATTTGATTTCAAACTTGTAGTGAATCTTCAAATTGAAGAAATATGATACTTTGATGATTCACAGGTATAATTACTATTAATTAAAATTAAATAAATTAAATAAAATTGAAGACAAAGTCCATGGAAACAATAACCTCTTTATTTATTTTCATGTTCTAGAATACATCTATATTTTAGAACATGAAAGTGAATAAAAAAATGTGACAGCTTCCATAGACTTTATCTTCAAAAACCATCTAGTGAATTTTATGATTTGAGGTTTAATTATAGTGCATGCTAATCTATAATTATTTAAGTAGAAATTTCTGTGTGTGTGTGTTTGTAAGTAGATATATACAGTAATTTTAATAGTTTAAAACATTGTTCACCATAATCTATTTTATATTATAGTTTTGTCATGAATATTCAAGTGTCGATGCTTGGGAATTAGAACGATTTGGTTATAAAAAAGCAAAGCTTGGTGTCAAATTAGAAATCTTAAAGGTAAGTTAATGTAAAAATTATTGTAAAAGTTTTTAATCTATTAGAAAGGGTATAATAGATTAAAAGTTTTTAATCTATTATTCGGGGCTGATGCCCGAAACGTTGATGTATGGAAAAAACGTTCTAACTAAATAAAAGATTCAACTAGCCCAGTGTTGAGAAAAACGTCACTTCATTGTGCCTGTACACAATTAGCANTCTATTAGAAAGGGTATAATAGATTAAAAGTTTTTAATCTATTATTCGGGGCTGATGCCCGAAACGTTGATGTATGGAAAAAACGTTCTAACTAAATAAAAGATTCAACTAGCCCAGTGTTGAGAAAAACGTCACTTCATTGTGCCTGTACACAATTTATAAATTATGTAGAAATTGTTTCTTCTTGATATCAGATTGTTAATTTGAATATCCATATTTAAACTTATGTTATTCTGCATGTTATATTTTTATAAAATGTACAGTACCTTTTATTTTTAAAGTATATTAGTCAACAAATAAATAAATTCAATATATTATGAAAGAATTTCCAGATTTACTTTAGAATTATTAATTATAATACCTTTAACTTTTTTAAAGCATATTGATTACATATCTTAACAAATTTTTTAGTCTTGACCACTGTAAATCACTGTTTCAGATTTTTAATATGATAGTGTTTAAATGTAACTGAAACTTTAATGAATATTAAATACTCTATGCAGATGCTATAAAACAAATAAGTTTAGACAAAATACAAATAAAAAGTTTATGCTTTGTTCATAATCTGTCCTGTTTGTTTTAAATTACATTAATTCAAATGCATTAAAGATAATGTTTGGAAACTTTAATCTCACTATTTATCATCGACAGTTGGAGTTCTTTTTTATTATTTTATGATAATCTTTATGCTGCTGAACTTTTCTTTTTAAATACTATTTATTATCCGTTGGTAATGTCTCCAAACGTAATTTTTCCACAAGAAATACTCTGTTTAGTTTTTGCACTTGATATAACTCTCTTAGCCTTTTTTGTTCCAGATTTTACTTTCAATCTTTGGCTATTCTTTCAAAATTTAGTTATCTTAATTGGAATGTCACTTTTAATGAATTTATGTTCTATCAATTGAACTTCATTAATAGACAATAGATTTTCTGTCTCTGCCAAAGCCCACCATGATCAAGTAGATAAAACTACTGAATGTTGGAAATTGATTCTAGGTTCATACTTGACTAAAGGGATGACTATGTGCAGTTTTCTAAAGATAAGTTTGGTTCTTTTAGTACACAGGAAGTAATGTAATATATCAAAGAATTAATGAATGATTAGTACCTGCTTTCAAAATGTTGGAAAAGCAACTCTTAGAGGTCTTGTTACTATTATAAAAATTAATATTATACAACATTATTTGTATTACATTTTCACTATTTTAATTTTCTGAAATAANATATTATAACAAACCGAATGTATATAAAAGAATATACGTAAATATAGAAACGTACGTAAAATGGCAGCATTGTCGATTCGATAGTTCGATAACATACAACCGTTATAAAAACTAAAATTAACAAAATTTACGATAAATGTAATAAACTAATATATCAAAGAATTAATAGTATATTAGTACCTGCTTTCAAAATGTTGGAAAAGCAACTCTTAGAGGTCTTGTTACTATTATAAAAATTAATATTATACAACATTATTTGTATTACATTTTCACTATTTTAATTTTCTGAAATAATTCTTTATCCGAACATAAAGAAAATTCCTTCTTTTCATAACAAAACAAGTATCATGTGGGAGTAGTTATATTATTACATCGGTTGAAACACAGAGTTTAAACACAGTGTGCATAGTGCTGTTACTGGAAGCAACTGGTTTTACTTCTGAACACTGCACAAAAATAGTTCTTTTAAGCAGTCTGTAAGTCGGGTGGCCCTAGCAAGGTTTTCAGGTGGTGCGAGATCTCATTGTGACACCTCCCCTGTAGAGACTAAAATGTACATAGAGACTAAAGATAACATACATTTTTTACATTATTAATAACTCAGACCTCCAAAAGATTAGCATAGTAGTAGTATGGATGAGAAACAATAACAGTAAAAAGAAACAATATTTGTTTGAAAAGTTTTATTTAATGACACAGACAATGCTCACATCATGCAAAAGTCAAATTTACATCATAAATTAATTTAAAATTGAAACAAATTAAGAAATGAAAAATGAACTAAAAAGCCTAGATTGCCACTTTCCTTGCTTTTGTGCTTGCAAATTTTTTTTTATTAATTCAGAATAATTCAAGTCCTGGGCAATACTATTTTCTGTAGATAAAATTGCTAGATCTGACAGTCTATCCTAACACATGGTTGAATGTAAATAAGTTTTAATGAATTTTAATTTATTGAAACTTCGTTCTCATTTAGCGACAGTTACTGGTATGGTCAGCAAAATTTGAAGTACTGTCCATACATTCAGAAATATATCCTGCCAACCATTTTGTTTAATAAGTTGAAGAACTTTTATTGGTTCTGCTGATTCAAGCTCTTTAAACAATGGATTCAGGTGTAAAAAGTTCCTCAACCAATTCACAACCTGATATGTCGCATTTTTCTCCATCGGTTAAATGTATTTCTAAATCTGCACAGGCTTTTTCCAATTTGGACTTTTCAGGAATTATTTTGATATTGTATAAAAAGGACCATGTATCATTAAATTTGGATAATTGTGTAAATTGAGTGACAAATGCATTCTCAATTGTATCAGTCATAGGGTAAAAGATATTTATTTTAACAATTATTTAGTATCTGTTGGTGTCTCGTCTACGGCCTCATATTCAAATGATCTCTTCTTTCTTCAGGATCGGACTGGCTTAAAAATAGGATCTATCCCAGTCTGAGAAGCAATTTCCATAGCTGTTATCAGAGCAGATGACTAACCCTGGTATCCTTTTACAAATTCCAAGCAGTTCTTCAGCAATTGTGAAGCGTTTGGTAAATCCATTTTGGCAGGTAGGGTTAAGTAGTAATAAAGTGATTGGGTTTTATTTTTTGTGCAGACAATTTATCATTGCATTTTCTGCACCCCCATGATGGCGCCTGGTGCGGTTGTACTGTTTGTACTGTCCTAGGGCCACCCCTGCCATAAGTGCACTGATGCAATTAGTTCATTTACTGAACTTGTCCCAAATTTTCTCCATATATTTTTAACACTTAAGTAGGAACCAGTTTTCCATAGAAATACCTCCTGGGAAGCACTTTTTCTTGACAGATCACTCTTGTGTTGTATCTCGTTAACTCATCAATCAAACCTGTCTCTGCTAAAATTACATTCTTAACTCTGTAAAATTTTTATTAAGCATAAAATTATAAATATTGATTCAAAGTCACAATTTAATAAAATACTCTGAACCTGTAATTAAATTTTGAAAATTTGAATATCCATATTTAAACTTATGTTATTCTGCATGTTATATTTTTATAAAATGTACAGTACCTTTTATTTTTAAAGTATATTAGTCAACAAATAAATAAATTCAATATATTATGAAAGAATTTCCAGATTTACTTTAGAATTATTAATTATAATACCTTTAACTTTTTTAAAGCATATTGATTACATATCTTAACAAATTTTTTAGTCTTGACCACTGTAAATCACTGTTTCAGATTTTTAATATGATAGNCATCAATATAATTTAGATATTTAAGAACTTTCACATAATCTGAATTTTTTTTTGAAATTTTATATTTAAGTTTATCCAATCAAAAATAAAGAAAGATCTTTTTTTGTTTGATAATTGATTGTTTAATATCTACTACTTACAATTAAAATTCATTTTACTCATATTTTGCAATGCAGATTTAATGCCCTTAAACTGGATAAGCACAAATTTGAATTTTTTTATCTTTTTAATCATGATATATTATTTTCATATTCAGAAGGTATTTAATGCAATCAACAAACTTACTGTTTGTTATCATAGCGCAGATTGCATTCTTTCTATTTTTTAATTAAAATAAAATTAGTCTATTATAATCTCAGTATTTTCATATCTTTTTATTAAAAAACAAAAACCAGTTTTATTCTGAAATAGTGGTCATACTCTATGATCATCACTACATGTAGAAATATGTTTTTGTAGATCAGGTCATTAAAAATGACCGAAAGCATTCATATAGATAATAAAACGGCTGCATATTAAGTAAAAGGTTTTATTCAAGGTTTAGTTGTTTTTATGAATTGCAGTTAGAGAAGAGTCTTGATTACTTTAGCCATGTAAAACTATTTGATTTGTGCATCTGTAATAAGATACATCAAAAATGTCTTTAAAGCTTCATATATGAAGCATTATTGGATTCAACACTAGTCTACTATTAACAATTTTTACACATTATGTGCAATTTTTAATGATATACAGATATATAATAAAATGTAAATAATGTTTTAAATTATTTAGAACTTAATAGTAATAAATTGTAAAATAAGTATTAATTCTGTCAAAAAATTTTTATGAACTCCAATATTTTAGTTTTTTTGTATGTGAAACACTAAAATTGATTTTTACAGTTTTAGTGATTAAATATATCATTGTCTTATAGACTACAATAATTAATTAATTTTTCTAAATGAAAGAATTTTCATAATTTAATTTACATTCTTCACAATATGTAATTGAAAGTAAGAGATGAAAGTAACATTAAGAAACAAAAGTAAATATTAAAACAAATAAGATTTTTCCTTCCTTTTAAAACATTAAGTTATATTTATAATTTTTCTAGTAATAAAAAACCTAAAACTTTTGTTTATATTTTAGCGTTTACTGGAAACACAATTTGACTGTAATGGAAAATTCAAATCTGAAGTCAATAAACAAGAAGCTGTTTCTCTGAGAGTTCTTCCAATTGGAAGGGATGTGCAAGGTCATATGTATTGGTATCAGTTGGACAGGGAATTAAATGTTCGAGTATATCGTGAAGATGCAGATGATGAACGTTCATGGAGATTGGTGTGCCAGTATGTATATTTATAAAACCATTAAAAAATTTTTTATCACTATTTGAAAGATTGTGTTGATAAATTGTTTATTATTTTAATGATTGATCAAATGATACAATTAACTATATATATATATATATATATATATATTATACTAGCAGACTCGGCCATGCATTGCTGTGGCTCAAAATGTATCTATTATAAATGTATAACACTTCCCCTGTGGGGGGAATTTCAAAAAATCTCTTTTTTGTGTACATTCTCTTGACATACCCTATTAAAACACCATCAAAAACGCAAAAAACCGCTTCTAAAGTTATAGAAGCCATGTTCTTCACAGTAAGCCTTAATCCCATTCCTCTCCTCGCAGAAGGAATTTTGACATCTAAATTATATAAAAACACATGCAAATTCAAATGCAACATTGTGTGAAAATTTCAAAGCAATTGGTGAAGAACTTTCAGAGATTAACTATTAGGAACAAACGAACATTACATTTTTATTTATATAGATAGTATTAATTTTATTTTTGTTTGTGGTTCTGTGAATTGGCTATCACAATCAAAATTATCTCTCATTTTTCAAATTAATGAAGAAATAAGAATGGTTCTATCAGTTATTTGTCCACTCAATTTGGAAAAATCACCAATAAGTTAACTTGTTTTTACAAAAATTAAGTAAAAATACATTGAACTATATTTCACACTATACTGAAAGTAAAGCTTTGGCTCGTTCAAATTTATCAAACTTAAAAAAATGTCTAGTTTAATTTTTTTTGAAAAGTGTTGTTATGCAATTAAAGTCTAAAAATTAATTAGGTTTGCATTAATGAAATAGTAAATTAAGTATATTTGACCATTTTGGCTCAATTTCAAATTTATGGGTGGTGCAGTTGTGTGAATCATTGAGTAATGCATTGGTGCAAGTTCTCATTTCATAGATAAATTCATTTTATTTTATTTTTCCCAAAATAAAAACAAAATCTTATCTCTTAATAAGCTATTTTATTTTTACAAAAATGGTAATTAAAATAGTGTATCATTTTTCTAATATATATTATAATATGTATCTATAAATTTATATATATTATATATTAAAATGATTTATTATTTTAATACTACCATTTAAAGACAAATAGTTGCAATTATTACCTTTGTATCATTTGAAACATTCCAGTTATTTTAATAAAAGATACATGATACATTTTTTCTCTCTTTGTCATCATCCCTTACATTGTCAGTGTTTTTAGGTTGATTATATTCTCTGGGCTGAGAATATAATGAAGATTGTGCTTTGGTTAGTATAATTATAAAAATTGATGGTCAAAGAAAAGTCACTGTTATGTGAAATAAGTATAAATGATTTGAAAAAATGTTTTGAACTTGTTTGTGAAAAATTATGATCATCATCATCTAATAAATATGATGATAATTTTGTATATATATTTTGTTTATATTTATAATAAAATGGATATTGTTTTGAAACTTATAAATTTTAAAATATTTTTTACAATATATAAAATTTCATAAACTCTTCAAAATGTCAATTTAAAATGCATGTAACATTTTTTTACAAATTTTAATACTGATAATACAGTATTAAAATTTGTTGAATCAAAGTGATTTTCCATAAGCCAAAAAATTGTAGTACAATTGCTTTAAATAGGAAAAATTAGAACTTTCATTTAAAGTTATTTAACAGTGATTTATAAGATATTAAAGGCAGAACATTATAATAAGTAATGCTTTGATTTGTATTTAAAAAAGCATAGGATGATAATGTAGGGCAATTCAAAAAGAATGATACTCTTTCATAGGTGTGTTAAAATATAATTAGAATATTTACGATCATGGCACAATTATTATAATAACTCTCAAGCTTTTTAAGTTTTAAAGTTATAAATATTTGTAAGTCCAATATTTTTCGATACATCTAAAAGTCCGATATTTTTGTAATAAGCCAAATGATTGCTGGATTTCTTTCAGAATATTTTAAATTATTTAATACATATTAATTTAATTATAATTATTAAATTTAATAAGAGATGGTGCCTAATGCTTACTTCTAGTACAAAATTATTTAATATTTAATCATTAATAGTAGTGGTAAAGTAGTCCAAAAATCTGGCAATCGTTTGGCTTGTTATAAATAATGTATTGGTAGTAACCAAGAAATATGTTGACATTTTTTTATTATTTAGAGTGTTTTTTTTATATATTGTATAAATATTAATGAAAATTGTAAAAACCTTAGTTAAAAAAAATAAAAGAAAGAGATAATTATTATTTATTTAATAATTATTTTGATGATTAGAACACGGGATGAATTGTCCGAGCTTATTGAAACATTGGAGATGAACACACTCTTACCAAAGAAAGAAGAATCATCATCAGCATGTAGTGAAAATGGTGATAGTAATATAACTGAAGCTTGCGAATCTAAGACTGGATTTATTGATGGTAAGAAATTTTAAAATGTGACGTTTGTATTATTATTTTTATTTAATTATTTATTTAAATTATTTTATCTTACATATAAAAATCTAGGAAAAGTTACTCCATATATCAGACTTTTTATAGATGCCTAAACTTTTTATCATAAGAATATTTCCAAACTTATTTTTAGTACTCTGTTATAAATTTATTCTGAAGATGAATTTGGAAATATTTTGTAGGTACAGTAGAACGTCGTTTATCCGAATCAGTTGGGGACGGGTTGTTCGGATAACTTATTTTTCAGATAATCGATTATGTATGAAAAAATATATTAACCTATCCCATGTTGAAATTTTTCTCTGTTGCATGTCGCTTTGCGTTGAATTTTCATCGATGTTAAGCCTAACATAAACTTTTTAAAATAATAATCGTGACTATTGTATCGTTAAAAATTATTTTTTTATTTTGTACAAACAAAATAAATATATTTAAAAATATAAAAACCAAAAATATATACTTTAGAAGTTGATCTAGTATCAAAAACGTTCGATTCAGCACGACACACAGTCCTCAGAAAAACATTACGCAAAAGTGTCAGTGCTGCCAGCTAAAACACACACACCAACAAAAAAAATAGTAGCCCAAGATATATCCAAAGATTGCAGCGCCACAGCACTAGCAAAAATTTAAATTTGCCAACTGGAATGCTTTCAGATAACCGACGTTTCGGATAAATGACACACTACTGTAATATATTTTATTTTATTTTATCTTTCTTAAGTTATTTTGTTTTTATAAAAATAAATTTGAAATAATGTATGATTTGAATATATAACAAGTCAAAGAATCCTTTGTTATATTTTATTATTAAAATACCATATTTTCTGGTATATAGGACACACTAGTGTGTAAGATGCAATTCTTTTTCAGGAGCATTTTTGGCAAAATTATTTTATTGAAGAAATTATACATTGTTGAAAATAATTATAACATCTTATCATATATTAATTGAAAACTAATTTAAAGAATTTTATGTAAAACAATTATGTATCAATATTAGAGAAAAAATGTACAATTATAATAACTATTTTAATTTATCCAGCTTTGAAGATTAGGATAAAGATTATTTTCTGAAATCTTTTTTGCATTTGAATCAGTGTTATTGTGATCATGTGCAAAGTGCCCCCTATTGCTTTCGCACCACTTGACTGAAGGGTCAGTACCATGTCATTGATGCCTATGTCAGGACTGACACCAATATGTCTTTAGGGAAGACATAGAAAACTAGTTGGCTGTTAGTCGTCACTTTAGGTGAGCAGTCACTTGCATAGGCAGATGGATTTGGGATGGAGGAGGTTTAAGAGTCAGTGCAATGGAAGGAATTGCACTCCATTACAGATTTAACTAAACAAATACACATTTATTTACATAGGATTTACATATTGATTACAATAAAGATCATAATAGCTAGTCATTATAAGGTTATCATGGTGGGTCTGTAACACGAGAGAGAGTTTACACTAGAGTGTGAAATGATAAATATCTTTTATTGTAAGAATGCTGAGAAAGTTTGACACTTGAGGGTCAGGAGAAGATAGGCTTTGATAATCTGAAATTGTGTTGTGACTCTTTTTTGATATACAGTCGAGTACCCCCCATAAGATCATAGATACGTTCCATTCTTTAGGAATCTGATTTTTTACGAGTCCTTCCAATCACAGCCCGACACGTGTGAAGTTTACGGACTACGGCTGATTGAAAGGTTTTCTTCCATAAAATTAATCGATTCTAGACTAATCCGACTCAACATTTCCAAAATACGTATATATTTTTTTGGAAATAATCCGTATAAACTACGCTATAAACAAAAAATTGGTGGATTACTTANTCCATAAGCCAAAAAATTGTAGTACAATTGCTTTAAATAGGAAAAATTAGAACTTTCATTTAAAGTTATTTAACAGTGATTTATAAGATATTAAAGGCAGAACATTATAATAAGTAATGCTTTGATTTGTATTTAAAAAAGCATAGGATGATAATGTAGGGCAATTCAAAAAGAATGATACTCTTTCATAGGTGTGTTAAAATATAATTAGAATATTTACGATCATGGCACAATTATTATAATAACTCTCAAGCTTTTTAAGTTTTAAAGTTATAAATATTTGTAAGTCCAATATTTTTCGATACATCTAAAAGTCCGATATTTTTGTAATAAGCCAAATGATTGCTGGATTTCTTTCAGAATATTTTAAATTATTTAATACATATTAATTTAATTATAATTATTAAATTTAATAAGAGATGGTGCCTAATGCTTACTTCTAGTACAAAATTATTTAATATTTAATCATTAATAGTAGTGGTAAAGTAGTCCAAAAATCTGGCAATCGTTTGGCTTGTTATAAATAATGTATTGGTAGTAACCAAGAAATATGTTGACATTTTTTTATTATTTAGAGTGTTTTTTTTATATATTGTATAAATATTAATGAAAATTGTAAAAACCTTAGTTAAAAAAAATAAAAGAAAGAGATAATTATTATTTATTTAATAATTATTTTGATGATTAGAACACGGGATGAATTGTCCGAGCTTATTGAAACATTGGAGATGAACACACTCTTACCAAAGAAAGAAGAATCATCATCAGCATGTAGTGAAAATGGTGATAGTAATATAACTGAAGCTTGCGAATCTAAGACTGGATTTATTGATGGTAAGAAATTTTAAAATGTGACGTTTGTATTATTATTTTTATTTAATTATTTATTTAAATTATTTTATCTTACATATAAAAATCTAGGAAAAGTTACTCCATATATCAGACTTTTTATAGATGCCTAAACTTTTTATCATAAGAATATTTCCAAACTTATTTTTAGTACTCTGTTATAAATTTATTCTGAAGATGAATTTGGAAATATTTTGTAGGTACAGTAGAACGTCGTTTATCCGAATCAGTTGGGGACGGGTTGTTCGGATAACTTATTTTTCAGATAATCGATTATGTATGAAAAAATATATTAACCTATCCCATGTTGAAATTTTTCTCTGTTGCATGTCGCTTTGCGTTGAATTTTCATCGATGTTAAGCCTAACATAAACTTTTTAAAATAATAATCGTGACTATTGTATCGTTAAAAATTATTTTTTTATTTTGTACAAACAAAATAAATATATTTAAAAATATAAANTTCAGAATATTTTAAATTATTTAATACATATTAATTTAATTATAATTATTAAATTTAATAAGAGATGGTGCCTAATGCTTACTTCTAGTACAAAATTATTTAATATTTAATCATTAATAGTAGTGGTAAAGTAGTCCAAAAATCTGGCAATCGTTTGGCTTGTTATAAATAATGTATTGGTAGTAACCAAGAAATATGTTGACATTTTTTTATTATTTAGAGTGTTTTTTTTATATATTGTATAAATATTAATGAAAATTGTAAAAACCTTAGTTAAAAAAAATAAAAGAAAGAGATAATTATTATTTATTTAATAATTATTTTGATGATTAGAACACGGGATGAATTGTCCGAGCTTATTGAAACATTGGAGATGAACACACTCTTACCAAAGAAAGAAGAATCATCATCAGCATGTAGTGAAAATGGTGATAGTAATATAACTGAAGCTTGCGAATCTAAGACTGGATTTATTGATGGTAAGAAATTTTAAAATGTGACGTTTGTATTATTATTTTTATTTAATTATTTATTTAAATTATTTTATCTTACATATAAAAATCTAGGAAAAGTTACTCCATATATCAGACTTTTTATAGATGCCTAAACTTTTTATCATAAGAATATTTCCAAACTTATTTTTAGTACTCTGTTATAAATTTATTCTGAAGATGAATTTGGAAATATTTTGTAGGTACAGTAGAACGTCGTTTATCCGAATCAGTTGGGGACGGGTTGTTCGGATAACTTATTTTTCAGATAATCGATTATGTATGAAAAAATATATTAACCTATCCCATGTTGAAATTTTTCTCTGTTGCATGTCGCTTTGCGTTGAATTTTCATCGATGTTAAGCCTAACATAAACTTTTTAAAATAATAATCGTGACTATTGTATCGTTAAAAATTATTTTTTTATTTTGTACAAACAAAATAAATATATTTAAAAATATAAAAACCAAAAATATATACTTTAGAAGTTGATCTAGTATCAAAAACGTTCGATTCAGCACGACACACAGTCCTCAGAAAAACATTACGCAAAAGTGTCAGTGCTGCCAGCTAAAACACACACACCAACAAAAAAAATATTGGAGTAGTCCAAGATATATCCAAAGATTGCAGCGCCACAGCACTAGCAAAAATTTAAATTTGCCAACTGGAATGCTTTCAGATAACCGACGTTTCGGATAAATGACACACTACTGTAATATATTTTATTTTATTTTATCTTTCTTAAGTTATTTTGTTTTTATAAAAATAAATTTGAAATAATGTATGATTTGAATATATAACAAGTCAAAGAATCCTTTGTTATATTTTATTATTAAAATACCATATTTTCTGGTATATAGGACACACTAGTGTGTAAGATGCAATTCTTTTTCAGGAGCATTTTTGGCAAAATTATTTTATTGAAGAAATTATACATTGTTGAAAATAATTATAACATCTTATCATATATTAATTGAAAACTAATTTAAAGAATTTTATGTAAAACAATTATGTATCAATATTAGAGAAAAAATGTACAATTATAATAACTATTTTAATTTATCCAGCTTTGAAGATTAGGATAAAGATTATTTTCTGAAATCTTTTTTGCATTTGAATCAGTGTTATTGTGATCATGTGCAAAGTGCCCCCTATTGCTTTCGCACCACTTGACTGAAGGGTCAGTACCATGTCATTGATGCCTATGTCAGGACTGACACCAATATGTCTTTAGGGAAGACATAGAAAACTAGTTGGCTGTTAGTCGTCACTTTAGGTGAGCAGTCACTTGCATAGGCAGATGGATTTGGGATGGAGGAGGTTTAAGAGTCAGTGCAATGGAAGGAATTGCACTCCATTACAGATTTAACTAAACAAATACACATTTATTTACATAGGATTTACATATTGATTACAATAAAGATCATAATAGCTAGTCATTATAAGGTTATCATGGTGGGTCTGTAACACGAGAGAGAGTTTACACTAGAGTGTGAAATGATAAATATCTTTTATTGTAAGAATGCTGAGAAAGTTTGACACTTGAGGGTCAGGAGAAGATAGGCTTTGATAATCTGAAATTGTGTTGTGACTCTTTTTTGATATACAGTCGAGTACCCCCCATAAGATCATAGATACGTTCCATTCTTTAGGAATCTGATTTTTTACGAGTCCTTCCAATCACAGCCCGACACGTGTGAAGTTTACGGACTACGGCTGATTGAAAGGTTTTCTTCCATAAAATTAATCGATTCTAGACTAATCCGACTCAACATTTCCAAAATACGTATATATTTTTTTGGAAATAATCCGTATAAACTACGCTATAAACAAAAAAATTGTAGGATTACTTACCGAGTGTGCACTATTTGACATTGCCATTGCTAAAGCTTGTTTTCATTGCGGAACAGCTCAGCAAATAGCGGCCGATTTCTACCAACTTATTTTTCTGCGAAAACTTCGTTGAACTTTGGAGACATCATTAATATAAATAATTTTAATCGCCGTTGAATAAGAAATGTTTCTTTCACAAGAAATGTATAAAATTACAGTACTGTATTAGACTTACGGTACCTAATTTACATACTGACAGACGATAGTTAGCGTAAAAATCTCCGTAGCGTGGCGCCACGCTAGACGGCGGAAATTATATATTTAATTATAACAAAGTTACAATAAGTTAATATATAATTATATATACAGTACCTAATTTATATATAATTNTCAGCAACTGATCTAGTTTCCTCCTCTTCGGCTGATTTACTTTCCTCTTCTTTAACAGAATCCTTTTGTATGTTTTCTAATTCAGCTTCCAGCAACTCTGCCTCCTTTTTTGTTTTTTCTTCCTGTATTTCCTGCTTGCCTGTGAATTTAGCAATATTTTGCTCTGTTATTTCCAAATTTTCATGCCGAGAAAATCTTTGAAGTAATGTCGTTTCCTCAAAAAATTCTTCTACAACTTCCCTCATCTTTGCTTATATATATATATATATATATATATGATCAAAGAAGATAGGCTCCAATAAGGGAATGTATTTGGCTCCTTGCAGACAGGATCTGAATCAAGGCAGCAATCCACAGTAATCAATATTGAAGGGATCTAGTCGGCTATCTGGCACTGAGGATAAACTCTAATGATGGCCGAACTGTAGGTAATAGTCAACTGGTGATGACAGAGAAACTGCTTGTTGTCATCTGATTCTCTCTCTTATTTTTGGGGTCCTCCCCTTTTTTGGAAATTATTACTTAGAAACTCTTGTAATATAAGCAGAGGTGCATTATTATATTAAAATTCAATTGTCAATGGTAACATCCTGAAAGTTTTTTTATTGTCATAATATGTGTAATGTACAGTACTATAAAAATTTATATATAAATTTATTAGGTTTTTTATTATTGAAAATCATAGTTTTCAATTTTATATTATTATTAGTTTTACTAGGTAAGAATATGGTCAATTAATGGTGAATGTTTTGTTCCAGTTGATAGTGTATACAAGAATATTATTTATTTTTTAGTTTATTATTTATTATAGAATATCATTTATTTTTATAGTAATTTTCATTCATTTTCAAAATTCAATTTGGATTCTAGTTTCATTTGTTACCAAACTAATTTCATTTTGACAGCATAATAATTATGTAATATAGAATTTTTAAAATTTTAAAATTTTGTTTATTGTAATTTAGAATGAATCCTGGTTAATATTTATATTTTATGAAATAATTTGTTTCTTCTTCTAGGTACCAAAGCATCTGTTGAACCATTCTGCAAACCACAAGTTACAGATACTGGTCAGCTTGTTAAACCAGAAAATGAAGTTAAAGAAGAAAAAGAAGCAACTTTGTCAATGGAAATTCCTTCTGGGTGTGCAGTTAAAATAGAAACCTCTTGCAGTGAGTGTTCAAAAGAACATGATGTAACAGGTTGTGATAATCGTAAGAATGAAAAGAAATCTGAGTCCTTATTAACTGAAAAGAAAAGTTCTAATAGAGAAAGAGAAGAAAAAGAAGAGACAAATAATAAAAGTGTAATTTTAAATTTGCCTGCAAATGATGAAAGAACTCAAATTAAAAGTGAAGTATCTGAACAATGTACTTCAGTAGAATTGAAGAATGAATCCATAAATAATGATGAAAAAAGTAAGAATGTAGTTGAAACTCAGTTACAAGAAAAATTAACTCCTAAAGAAAGAGATAGGTTTTCTTTAGAAGTAGACACAGAAAAAGAACATTCTTTAAAAAGTAACATTCCACAACTTTCTGCTGAAAAAATACTTGATAACCAATCACAACAAAATAATGAAAATAAAACATCAGTTATCTCTATGATATCTGGAAATGTTCTCAGGGAATCAAAAACTTTGCATCCAACAATTTGGAAAGAAAATCAGTATTTAGATTCTGAAGCTTATAATAAATCAATAATTTCAACACCCAAAGATCTTAGTAATAAAGTTTTTTCTTTACAAAGTAGTAATTCAGAATTAAATTTTTCTAATGTAAGTAATTCAACAATTTTAAGTCAGACTAATCAAGAATTAAGACAGGTTTATCCTGAAATTAAGGACTACAGAGGATGTGAGAATATTCGAAATAAAAGTGGAAATGATGATAAACATGAATATGAAAGGCCACTAATTAAAACAACTAGCTTCCACCCATTTCCTAAAAAGGAAATGGTAGCTAAGTTTGAAGGCAGAATATTGTCTGATCATTCTTTGAGTCATCATCCAATAAATTTAACATCAGAAAAAATGAAGTCAGATGAAAAGATGATTGCTGAAAATTCTTCCAATTCTACATATGAAATTTCTGCAAAAGAAAAATTTTTACAAATTGATTCTAATAAAAATTTGTCAAACAGATATATTGAAGACAATGAAAGTCAGTGTGCTGTAGATTTAAGTATTGGTTCTCGTAAAACAGATTCTGAAGTTCAGAAAATGAAATCTAATTCTCTGAAGTGTGATAAGTCAGTATTTCAGTTGACACACATAAGAGATGATCAGTCTGGTGAAAGTAGTGAATCAAGTATTCCAATTTTAGTGAATGAAACAATAAATAAATTGCCACCATCTTTTTCAATAGATAATGATAGACCTCCTCTTTTAAAAGAAATTCATAGCAGATTAGATGATCATAATAAATTAATTCCTGAAGGTAAAAAATCAAGGAGAAGTAGTGCATCAGAAACATTATGCAATGTGACTCACACTGTTATTGGAAATAGAAAATCTCCTATAATGAGAATGGATGAAGTAAGTAGTGGTAGATTGATTTCTGAATTTAATACAGAAAGTGACAATAAAGTTGAAAATAAATGTGATCGAACACATTTAAGTGATAAAAAGAGAGAGCATAATGAAAGCAAAGAAGTTTCTGAAGTGCATGGATTAGTTACATCACAAAGTAAGTTACCATTGGAATCAAATAAACCAACACCAGAACAGAGTAGAATTAGTGTTATTCAAAAGTTGTATGATAATTCTCAACACATTTCTTTAAAAGGAGAAGGTTTTCCATCCTCTATTGATCAGCAGATGTCTGAAACAGATAAACTAGAAACACAAAGAAATGAAATTTCAAATAGAGAAGCTGTTGTTAATAAGGAATCTATAGGTGAAAATCAGTTGCAAGAAGTAATTAATAAAAAAGAGAAATTAGAAAAGCAGTCTTTACATAAATCTTCTGGAATGTCAAAGCATGAAAAAATGTCAATTTCAGATAATAGTTCAGAAATGAATAAGTCAAAAGAAAATGAAATTTGTAAAACTGTTCTTCAAAAAAGCAGTGATTTGAGTGAAAAATTATCCCCTGTTGAATCTATTGTTCATTCCAAACTTGAATGTGAAGAAATCAAAAGCAAAAAAGATATCATTGAATCATCATCGATTTCTGTACAAAGTTCAAAGCATGTAAAACCTTCATCATTACTAACAAAAGTTGATGTGTGTATAACAGGCAAAGATAGTAAAGAAGATAACACTGAAAGAAATTTAGACTCAGTAGAGAAATATAAAAAGAAGAGTAGTAATGAAACAAAGGCGGAATCACTAGAAAAAGTTAATAAAAAAGACAATGAAATAAACTCAGAATCGTTTGAAAAATGTAGAAAGCCAATTATGAAAGATACAGATTTAAAATCACTTCAGAATTCAACTGATAAAAGTAGTACAGAGATAGGTGTGAGATTAGAAGAGAGCTCTGATAAAATAAAAACTATAGAAAATACAGAATTGGTTGAAAAAACAAATAACAAATATATTTCAGAAGTATATAGTGGTTCACATGAGAAAGATAGCAAAGAAAATGCTGCAGAGAAAGATTCTGGTTCATTAGAGAAATGTACAAAGAAAAATTTTACAGAAACTAACTTAAATACAGAACTCCCTAAAAAGACTAACAAAAAAGACATAAAAACAAATGTAGAATTGCTAGAAAAAAGTAACAGAAAAAGTAATTCAGAATTGATAGAGAAATGTGATAAAAAAGATGTATCAGAAACTAATACAGAAATTATTTCAGATTCTCTAGAAATACTTAATAATAAAGATTTTTCAGCAAAATCAGTACAACATAATGAAAAAGAAAAAACTAGTATGAAATTATTAGATAAATGCAGTGATAAAGATAATACAGGAACAAAGGCAGAATCTTTAGAGAATTATAAAACAAATAACAATGTAGAAATGAACAAAGAATTGTCAGAAAAGTGCAACAAAAAAAGTAATAAAGAAGCTAATGCAGAATTTTCTGATAAACAGAGTAAAAAAGATGATGTAGAAATTAATGAAGAATTATTAGAAAAAAGCAACAAAACTGATACAACTACGGAACCACTTGAGAAGTGTAACAAAAAACATAATTTAGATTCAAATACAGAATTATTAGGGAAATCTAATAAAAAGAATAAGATGGAAAAGTCTGATGAAAAAAATTTAAGAACTTTAGAAAATAAAGAGGGAAATAAAGAGCAGTCTATTCAAAATGAATTAACCACTGCTACAGCAGCTTGTAAAGAAACGAAGGTAGATACTACTAAATCTGTTCGATCTAAAACATCAAAAGAAAAAAGGAATTCTCTAAGTAACTTAAGTAGTGAAGCTACAGTTACATCAACAAGTGCTTCTAAAGACCTAAAATTGATTGAGAAGGAATTAAAAGAAAAACATTCTGATAGAAGTATTACTTTAACAGAAGAAAAACAAGGTAATGAGAAAAATAAAAATTTAAAAAATGATAAATTTGATGAATGTAATGATTCTGTAAATGATAAAATTTCAAGTCCAAAAGATAAAAATCTTAATAAAGAAAATGATAAATGTAAATCATCTGATGATTTAAATCAAAACTGTGATGTTACAACAGAAAAAGAAATTATTAAAACTAATGATGAATCTGTTGAACAGTCAACAGAAGAAAAATCTTTGGATATTTCTGGTGATGTAGAAAATAAAAAACAGTCTAAATCAGAAGACCAAGTAATAGACGATGATAAAGAAAATGATAGTCAAATGCAGGATGACGACGATAAAACAAATGATTCTAAAACAGAGCAATCAAAATCGGGTAAAGGAAAAAGAAAACGAGGACAAGGTGTTGTATTTTCTGATAATTCTGAAGCAACAGAACAATCTCAAGATAGTCAGGCTGATTTTATTATTTCAGAAGGATTCTTAGAAATATTAGATGGATCAAAATCCAGGGGTAGGGGTAGGGGGAGAGGGAGGGGTAGAGGTAGAAATCGTGGAAGAGGAAGAAATAATAATTCGGCAAAAGGAACTGAAAAAGTTGCAGAAGAAAGTGTTCCTCCAGTTCCAGTTAAAAGAAGTAAACGAATTCAAGAGCAATATCAGAAAAAAATGACAGAATTAGCAGAACAGATGAAAAAAGAACAAAGACAATTAGAAGCAATGGCTAAAGAAAAGGCTGCTTTGATGGCAATAGAAAAAGTGAGTATTTAATCAATTAATGCCCTTCTAACAGTTATATTTACTAATGGAACATTTCACAAAAATTTTTTAATCATACATTTTGTTTTCCAAATTCATAAAGCTTACAGTTGTATATCTGTGAATAGCCTGATTTCATGATTACATATTTAATGAATAAAATCAGTTAAATTTAAACTATGCATGAAAATATTTGAATTATACTATTTAATATAATTTATTATTTGCATTGATATCAGTTGTTATTTTAAAAGTTTATTTATTATTATTTAATATTGAATGTCCAAAATTGATTTACACTTTTAATAACAATTTTTAAAAATTAAAGTAATGTTATAGATGTTTATTAATTATTATACAGTAATACCCTGAACTTACGCGATAGGTGGGACCAAGCGATAACCGTGATTACCATTGGAATCAAATAAACCAACACCAGAACAGAGTAGAATTAGTGTTATTCAAAAGTTGTATGATAATTCTCAACACATTTCTTTAAAAGGAGAAGGTTTTTTCCATCCTCTGTTGATCAGCAGATGTCTGAAGCAGATAAACTAGAAACACAAAGAAATGAAATTTCAAATAGAGAAGCTGCTGTTAATAAGGAATCTATATGTGAAAATCAGTTGCAAGAATTCGAATTTGCGTAAGTCGGGGTATAATTTCGCAATTTGTGTAAAATCCAAGTCACATGTATATAAGCTAATAAATGTTCTCAATCTTATCTCATCTTTTGATTCGTTCATGGTTACAAGAAATCACTACATAGAGTCTCTCAAGTCTCCATAGATATAACAAACACAGAAATAAATAACACAAAATAAATTGTAGCTATGTGTTGATTCCGCGCGACACGTCCGAACATGTAAGCCGAACAATAGTGTAGGGGGAGTGAGTAATCAAGAGTTGCATGGCACTCAACACAAAAGACGAATCGACGAGATTTGAAAATCGCTTAACTCCGGGTTTGCGTAAGTCGAGGTATTACTATAGTTCTAATATTTTTTAGTTGCCATGTAGATAAGAACTGTAAATAGATTTTCATTTTTCAAAATCTAAATAACTTATATAATGTTTGAATTCTATACTATAAGCATTTTCAGACATTGATATGTAATATAAATATTTTACAGAATTTATTAGCTTTTTTATAATATTAATATTTCTTCATAGCTACATTAAAATGACTACAATAAAAAGTGTATGGATTAATTGGAAATATTTCTATTGTTGTGGAAAACTGTTTGTAATAGAAAAATATTTTCTTGTTCAGCATGACTGAATTAGCCAAGAACAATTATAGTCTTGTAACTACAGAAATTATATAGATCTATAATCAATCTTTCATTATTTTAATTTCTACCAAACTATCCCTAAATTACTTAATATTTTGAGGGGCTAGTAACTTATTTGAACTTTTATAAAGACATAATTCTTATTTATCCAACAACATATAAGTCCACTTCCTTTCTGGACACTTTATTATTCAAGAGGATTTTTTACTATTTTCTCTTGAAGTTAATAATTTGTATTCTTTTCCTATATTTCTAAACTTATTTACGTTCCTCCTCTGTAAACATACACAATTTATCTTCCCAGTCTTCAATAGCTCTATTTTCCTGCATTTTCATGTCATTGTTCTATTGTTTCACATTGTGGATATAGTCCTCTTTTTTCATTTTTTTTTTTACAATCTTTCTGGATTTGATTTTTTTCTTTTTCTTTGCAAAATCAAAATTAAAGTGTAATTCCTAACATATTTCTCACAATAGTTGTGTTCTTTTATATATAACTTATAAGGAATGTCCATATGATATATGATTTGGCAGATATTTTATGACTAGATGCTAGTCTGATGTTAACTTTCATCTTTTTTCTCTTGGATTTGAGATCATCCGTGGCTTTATCTATACCAGGGGTCGCCAAACTTTTTTAACCGTCGATCCCCAACCACTTTCCAAAGCCTCACATTGACCCCCACTGTAAAGTTTTATTACAAGTGTATGTGTATGGGCAAAAAAAAAGTTGTGACCCCTTAGCCGCATCGACCCCCCATTGATGTTGCATTGACCCCTGGGGGTCGATATTGACCACTTTGGCGACCCCTGATCTATACCATAATTAAAATATGTGCGCTAGTGATTATGAAAGAGGTCTAAGTCAAAAATAGGAAGACATTGAATTTATTTTACAAACTATTTGTAAATTTTACAATCACATAAAAAAAACCTATTTTGCAAAAAAATATTTGTGATTAATATTAATGTTAAAAAAATTAAAAAATTATTTTTTAATTTTTACAAACTCAAAAGTCATCTACAAATGAAAAATGCATAACTTAAATCACTTTCATAATCACTAGCAGTTATAGTATCAGAAAATTATACTTTAGCATGTGGCTACACCTCTGTTTAATAGTTGACTCCTTTCCCACCATATGATGTGTATCAAAAAAAGAACCAACAGTGTGTTACTATAGATTTATGGAGATATGGATTACAGGATTAGCATAATTGTCAGATATCAATTAAAAGGAATAGAAAAATGGAAATAAATCTTGTGAATAATTTTTAGAATGCTATAATGAAGATTGAAGACTAGAACAAATCAGAATGGCAATTGCCAACTGGTTCCCAGTAGCAGTCAGTCTATTATCATATTAGTGATTATGGTAAATGTAGAGTAGGTTTTCATGCTTGTTTTGCTTGCTGATGATGAAAAAAAGATAAACTGATTATGGACATTAACCAGAAAACAGAACAAATTCTCCTCTGGGCTTAAGCCCAAACAATTGGAGAAAACATTCCTTTCCTGGAGTAAGTACAAAAATAAATATGGATAAGTGTTTTATGGATAATGCTATATGCTCATCTTCATATCAATTTCATATTTAAAAAAAAATTTTTTTTATCTGAAGATGAGTGGATAGCTCAAAAGTGTTCATCAGTATTTACTTTTGTATCTACTCTAGGAAAATATTTTATGTTATTTTAACTTTGAGTTATCATTATATAATATTGTAATAGAAATACAGTGGAACTTCGGTATACGACCTTAATCCGTTCCTGGTGTTTGGACTTATACTGAATTGGACGTATACCAAACCAACCTTTTCCATAAGAAGTAATGTAAAAATGATTAATCCGTTCTCATGTAAAAAAAATGGCTAACTTTAAACACCTTGCTTTCCTTACTAGTTTCTGCTTGATTTTTTATGAGATCAGTATGTATCCTTTTAACTTTCTTGCAAATAATTTCTTTCGATATGCTGTTGCCGACACACTGTTTTTCAGTTATCCAAAGCAACAGCAATTTCTCGACATGATCTAATGTCTTCGATCTCTGTTTAGAAATTGATTTAACCCCTTTTGCAACGTTAGAAAATTTAATAATGTCTTTATTTTTCACAATTGTCGATATCGTTCTCGGAATATGGAATGCAACAAGTTAAATCTCGAACACGCGTGCCATAAGCTAATAAATGTTCTCAATCTTATCTCATCTTTTGATTCGTTCATGGTTACAAGAAATCACTACATAGAGTCTCTCAAGTCTCCATAGATATAACAAACACAGAAATAAATAACACAAAATAAATTGTAGCTATGTGTTGATTCCGCGCGACACGTCCGAACATGTAAGCCGAACAATAGTGTAGGGGGAGTGAGTAATCAAGAGTTGCATGGCACTCAACACAAAAGACGAATCGACGAGATTTGAAAATCGCTTAACTCCGGGTTTGCGTAAGTCGAGGTATTACTATAGTTCTAATATTTTTTAGTTGCCATGTAGATAAGAACTGTAAATAGATTTTCATTTTTCAAAATCTAAATAACTTATATAATGTTTGAATTCTATACTATAAGCATTTTCAGACATTGATATGTAATATAAATATTTTACAGAATTTATTAGCTTTTTTATAATATTAATATTTCTTCATAGCTACATTAAAATGACTACAATAAAAAGTGTATGGATTAATTGGAAATATTTCTATTGTTGTGGAAAACTGTTTGTAATAGAAAAATATTTTCTTGTTCAGCATGACTGAATTAGCCAAGAACAATTATAGTCTTGTAACTACAGAAATTATATAGATCTATAATCAATCTTTCATTATTTTAATTTCTACCAAACTATCCCTAAATTACTTAATATTTTGAGGGGCTAGTAACTTATTTGAACTTTTATAAAGACATAATTCTTATTTATCCAACAACATATAAGTCCACTTCCTTTCTGGACACTTTATTATTCAAGAGGATTTTTTACTATTTTCTCTTGAAGTTAATAATTTGTATTCTTTTCCTATATTTCTAAACTTATTTACGTTCCTCCTCTGTAAACATACACAATTTATCTTCCCAGTCTTCAATAGCTCTATTTTCCTGCATTTTCATGTCATTGTTCTATTGTTTCACATTGTGGATATAGTCCTCTTTTTTCATTTTTTTTTTTACAATCTTTCTGGATTTGATTTTTTTCTTTTTCTTTGCAAAATCAAAATTAAAGTGTAATTCCTAACATATTTCTCACAATAGTTGTGTTCTTTTATATATAACTTATAAGGAATGTCCATATGATATATGATTTGGCAGATATTTTATGACTAGATGCTAGTCTGATGTTAACTTTCATCTTTTTTCTCTTGGATTTGAGATCATCCGTGGCTTTATCTATACCAGGGGTCGCCAAACTTTTTTAACCGTCGATCCCCAACCACTTTCCAAAGCCTCACATTGACCCCCACTGTAAAGTTTTATTACAAGTGTATGTGTATGGGCAAAAAAAAAGTTGTGACCCCTTAGCCGCATCGACCCCCCATTGATGTTGCATTGACCCCTGGGGGTCGATATTGACCACTTTGGCGACCCCTGATCTATACCATAATTAAAATATGTGCACTAGTGATTATGAAAGAGGTCTNTACAAATTATAATCAGAAGAAATTTAACAAAGTTATAAACCATAGCACCGCAAACGTCTAGTCTGGTGTA